CAGACTCAGTGGTTAACTAAGTGCTGGTTAATAATGAATGAAAGCACTTTTCTCAAAAGTGATGTTGAGGATAGAATTCTAGAAGTCCAGTGTATGGTATGTCATAAGATGCTCCTAAATAAAACAGGAGCCAGATTTTGTTGCTGTCTCATCATTGCTGCTGTGTGGTTGTGAACCTCCCAAAAGGGTGAAAGTTTGTGAGAGAAGTTAGGGGCTGGTTTTGAAAGGCACCTATCTGTTGTGCTTCTTAGATGTTCATTGAAATTAAAAGTGAAAAAAAAAATGTTGCAGTACAGGAGGAAGACTGAGAGCTGAGGAAATGTAAGAGATATGTATTTTTGTACACAGCTGGCCTTCCTTCTGTATGGAGAATCTTTCATGCATTTGGTGCTGGTTTATGCTTGGATTTTCAGACTGATTGGCTTTTTTATAGCCTGCTCTCCTGAAATGTAAAGCACTAAGTTGCCTTCTTTCAAGTGAAGATGTTCCATGTCAAAACTTATTTGGAATTCTAAATAGGTTTTTTTTTTCCCTAAGGCAAATTATCAGTATTTTTCCCCTCCATCTACAGAGACAGAGAAATAAAACCATCCACAGATGAAACTGGAAAAAAGCAAGTGATTTAAAGAATTGCTAAGTACCATAATTTGGTTGCAGGCATTGAAATTCTTTATGATAGGATTCTAGATTTAGAGAATGAAGTAGGGTTTTCTTGTTCTTCTATATTTTAAATCTGTAACTTCAAAAATGTTCCTGAAATAGGAAAAATTAATTCCCTTTTGAGATGGGGAATCAGAATCTGCTGGGAAGAAAAGGGCAAAAATTGAGAAATAAATCAATTGAGCACCTTTAAGAGGAATCATTGAAGTTATTTATCTTTAAAGAGTGGAGATATTAGGAGAATGACATCATCTGTGTTCTGCACTGGGTTCTTCTGCTCAGTTTGTGTGACATATTGCTTAAACCCTCTTTGCCTCTGGTTTCTCTGAAGTATTAGTAATTCCCTTCTGATCACTGCAAAAAGCCTTATGAGCCACAAAAGACTTGGGGTGATAAACAAACATCCACTGAGACAAAAATGCAGGGCTAGACCTTAGCTCCCTGAAGCCTGTACAAGAATTCCTAGAACTCATAGGGTACAAATGTGTTTGTACACAAAGCCACCCAACAGTGCAGGCTTGGCTGAAAAAGAGCTAAAAAGCTCTTGGTTCTTTGGGTGCTTGGGAGTTTATCCCTGGTGTTTCTGCTCACCTCTGCCCTGTGCTGCACTCCCTCTGATCAGTTTGTGGTTTGAACTACTGCTGCAAAGGATTATCTTTCATTTAAAAGGTGATGAAACTCATCATTTCCATCTCTTTTATTGCTCATCATGTCCTCAAAACCTCAGACATTCAGTTATTAAACACAGGGAGGGCACCATCATCCTCAGCATCTTTCAACCCCGTCAGGAAGGGATTTGGAAGCCTGAGCTTTGGAGCACACCTGGCCAGGGGAAGGAGCTGTCACCACTCAGCACAGACCTGTTTATAAATATCTGCTCTCCAGAAGACAGCTGACAATTGTAATGGGGCTAATTCTTCCAGCAGCACTGGCATAACACCATCAGGGCTGTCTGGCACTGCACAGGGTATTTCTTCCATGAAAGAAAACTAATCCTGAGCAAGACAGTTTTAGTGTGACTTATGTTCCTTGAAGTGCTATTACAGCAAGTAAAACAAGCAGCATCATTTCTCAGTGGTTTAAAATAAGCTACACTGAAATCAATATGGATTTATTCCTTGTCTCTTTCCACAGCACCGGGAGGAGCTTTCCACTGCTCTTGCAGACAAAAATGTGTCTTCATTTAGTGCATATTATGTATTGCACTTGCTGTAAAACAGAATTGTGCATTGGATTGACTGCCTTGAACCTCAGTCCTGCCCCTGAGCAATTGCAGCTGACTCAGTGGTCATGACTGGTACCCTTCATGGATCTAGAGCTAGCTCTGATGCTAGGCTTAACACATCCTATTTTCCATCAAATGATGGTTTCACTTCCTTTTTCTTATGAAAGTGTGATTTCTATTCATATTTTTTTTCCATTCACGATCTGAGTAATGCCTGACGCTTTTGTTTAATGTGTATGAAGTCCTGTCTTGTTGTGTAAGATGTCCAAAGGCTGATTATGGTGACTTGGATTTTTCAGGACATTTTGGTTTGCAGTTTAAAAATCAGAAGTCAAATTTGGTTGTAGTGGGAGTTTGTTTATCTGGAGCTGTATGAGAAGATTATGACCTTACTTGTATTTTTCCATACCAGAAGCAGAAACTTTTCAAAGCACTTCAGCTGGGGAGGAAGAGTACAAGTTGTTTATTTTCAGTGGCATCTCCATGGTTCCAAACCCCTTATCAAGACTCTTAATGAGCTATGACTGGATAATTAAAAAGTAGGGTTTAGGTCAGCTGCTTCTGCTTTCAGCGTGGGATAAATGCATGTTTTGGAGCAATTTAATGTGGCAGGGCTTTTAGGACAGCAGTTTCTTTGAGGAGAGACTTTGGGGCAACTTTGGACCAGAAATTGGAGCTTCATTAAGAAGTGGCCCTGGAGCAAAACAAAGTGTTTTGAGCATCAAAGTGTCACCATATTCTGTGTTATGCTGAAGGCTGTAGCTACTCTTTCAGAGCCTTATCTCCAAGAAACAGCTCAGCCAGCCCAAGAGCATCACACCTAGCCTTTTTAGAGAAAATTCCCTGCCTGAATGGCAGGTCCTCAGCTGGCTAACACAAACAAGAACAATTGTAACAGTGCAGGGACTCATTTTGTACTGCTTATTATTATTATTGTAATAGTCTGATGTGCAGCTACTTGCTAACAGAAATGTTAAAACTATTAAATGTTAAAACTGTTAAACTATTTCTGGTGATCTGTACCAAATAATTGCCTGTAGCCAGTACCAGAAAGTATCAGAAGTGAATCTGGATTCACTCAAGGTGCTTGTCAAATCCAGATTTCAGGTTCCTGGGGGAGTTGCTCTCTACAGGATGAGATGCAGATGCTACCACTGGCTCACAGACAGTTCTTTAGTGTTAAACCTTGCACTAGAGGTGGTGGGATTTGCTGTGTTTTGCTAAAACCAGAGGTTATTTTAAAAAGGGAAGAGGAACTGAGGGCAGGACACAATTAGCTATACAGCTACTGTATAGCTAATTTCTTACTTTTTCACTTTGTCATAGCATTTCACTGCATTTTTATCTAACTGTAGGTAACCAGGTGATGAGTAACAGCTGTGGGCTTAAGGTTTGAGAAGTGTGACATCAAAATTCAGAACAAACTCTGCTATATATCAGGTATTTAATTATCATTTTTAAACTCCTAAAATCTAGACCTGGTGTGCAGAGCAGGTCAGGACAGCCTTGTGCAGGAGGGTGTGCAGTGGTGGCTGTAGAGGCTGTTCTTTTCAGAGGTGAGCCAATTCCTCCTGAATAAGGATCTCTCTTTCACCATACTGCTCCTGAAACAAGTTTGGGAAGGGTCCTCTCCACAGAGAGTCTATTTCTGTGTTTTCTTCCAGAGTGCTCAAAACAGACTGGCCTGCATCACACACCATTTTGCAGATGTGAAGACAAATTTTGACTGGATAAAAGCATTTCCAATTAAGCATGGAATTAGTGCTCACTACTATTCTGTCTTAACTGAAGAGCAGCTGGAGGATCAAATCCAGCAGGGAGAGCTGAGAGCTCCTCTGCCTTACTCTACTGGCACCCAGGTGCAGCAGGCACAGGAAAAGGTCTCACCTCTGCTCAGAAAACTGATCCAGGCTGGTCCCTCTGCCCTGATGATTTCTGTCAGGGTTGGTGGTGGTGGCTCTCAGCACTAGGATTTGAATGTGCCCAGCAGGAGAGTCCATTGCCTCCTGTGAAAAACAAACTGTGTGGTATGCTTGAGTCTAAAGCCTTTTGGGATGGAGCCTGGATCTGCTGAGCTCCTGATCTGAGCTTCCATTTCAATTAATATTGTGAAATAATATTAATCCATGCAAGTGTTATTGGTAGATTGTATTTCCCTGTGCTTTCAGAAGTAGAGAAGGACATCAGAAGTGACTGAAGAACAAAACCACACTGAAATCAGTCATCTGGACATGGTTTAAGACCTGTTTGAAGCTCAGCTGCACACACTGGGGACAGGAGCTGGTAAAGCCATACAGCCCTTCAATTTTCTTTGAGCAGTTTGCCTTCAATCTGACCTCTGTGACAGATGGAGTACAGCATTGATAGTTCTGAGCTGATGTTTCTCCTAGCTGGTACCAAGCAAAATCTCAGATGTTAAAAGAATTAAAAGAATGACACAGGAGTTATTCAAAAATTTAATTCGCTTTTCTTTTAATTTTGAATTAATAATATTTTTGTCCTTTAGCAAGAGGTATTTATAACACCCTGCCAAAGCAGTGCAAAGCCACAGTGTGTTGGGCCTACCTAGGGCTATGATTTAAGAGTACAAGTTCAGTGCAGATGTAGCTGGGGCTGCAATTACTCCTACCCAGCCCCACCTCCTGGGCTGAGCTACAGGCACCTGTGTCTTTCAGCTGCTCCTCACATCTCCCAGGAGCCTGGCACAGGCAGTCCAGCTTCTTCACAGCCAGGAAGCTGCTTCACAGCCCAGGCTGGGAGAGAAAGGCAGCCAGCAGAAGGCAGTTTAAAGATACTGTAAGCTCATCAATGCTGATTGATTGATTGATGCACTCATGCAAGTTAGGTCCTGCCAGGCTGTTCCCTACTCTTTCTGTGAGGAACTTTATACTCACAGCAACTCAAATTGTACTGCTGCCATGAAAAAAAAAGCCTTTCATAACAATTTTACTGTTACTAGGTACGTTGGTAGTTGTGAGGTCTATTTTTCAACCTCAAAGCAAGAGTCAAAAATACTACAGAATATGTTTCAGAAGATACTCAAGCACTCTTCTTTCTTAGCCTAGCTGAACAAAAAAAAAAAACAGCCCAAAATCTGTTGGTCCCCATGGCAGTATACACTGTATTTTTCTTTCTGTCCTTGCTCACATCTGGTCAACAATAAAATCTAATTACATGGATTACAGCAGACTTAGTAAGCCCTGTACATGTGCTAAGCTAAAAGTAATTACCCTGCTGTTTCTTAGGGAAGCTATTCCCCTTTCTTTTTCCAGAGTTGCTCTTTCTCTACTTTGTCAACAAACTGCAGAATATCTTTAGCAAGAAGTTCAGGCTCCTCCAAAGCTGCGAAGTGGCCACCCCGAGGCATGAAGTGGAAGGAGACAATGTTGGTGTATTTCTTCTTAGCCCAAGCCTGGGGTATGTGCAGGATTTCATTGGGGAAGGCAGCAATGCCAGTAGGTACCTGTACTGTGAGCCTGAGAGAGGAGAGAGAATCATTGTCATCTTCCAAACACTTAAATCTGTAACAAATCAAAAGTCCCAAGGAAATGTTCCTGAACAGTTGGACACACTTTTGTTAGGCATTAAAAATTGGACTTCCAGATCCTAAAACTGAAGACAACACCATAATTCCTGAGGGAAAAACCTCTCTTTTATTTTTGCATACAGTGATATTAAGGCAATTTTGGAGGTGATCCAAGGCATGAGGCTCAGAAGCACGGAAAGGGAGAGGAGAGCCCTAGGAGGTGGTGGGCAGCAGATTTTCTCTTGCTGTACACACGGTTCAAGTTGATGAGCAAGCACACAATTTGATAAGAGCTGGAGAGAGATTTACAGAGAAGATAACCACTCAAATATACTAAGCCTGGCAGGACAACTGGAGGGTAGGCAGGAGAATAGTTACTTAATGGGGGCAGAAGAGAGGAATGCTGATAATCTAGACTAGTTCAGAAGCAGCATTTCTATATGTGGGACTATACCTTGTAGCTCTTGCTTTTAACTGGCACAAATGCACACTACAAAACATTCTTCACATTAGGAAGTGTGAGGAAGCAACTGCATTTGAGGGGTGTGAATGATCTGTGCTTGTTCTAAGAGCCACATTTTCAGGTTTGAATATCCCATACACATAAGCTGCATGGTCAGAAGTGACAGACTTTAAAATGTAGATACAAAAAGTGTTGGGTATATAGGCACTGGAAGGCTGAGGTCAGAGCTTTACACAAGACTCTGAGACTCTGTCCTCCAGGCACTTAGGAGCTCACACAGCTCATCTAATGCAGGCAGAACTAGAGCAAGATACTGCCCACAGCATGGCCACAACAGCTTCAGGAACTGAGTCAGCTTCCCGGGAGCATCATTTCACAGCTAAATAAATAGCATGGCACTAAGCTGTGGGTGCAAATACCTCAGGACAGGTTTAAGCCTTCACTCATACTCAGGCTGACACAAGTACATGCAACCAAGGTCTGCCTGAAGAGTCTGAGCAGCAGCAGGCATATCAGCCTCACTGACTTCTCAAGGATGCAGTTTGTCAGCAGGCTGAAGTTGCTTCCAAAAGAAGGACTTAAGCCTTTTGCAGAAACAGGAAAATTGTGTCCAGAAAAGTACTAAAATTACAACCAACTAAACTAAACAAAACTGACTGTGTGACTCAGTCACAGACTGATTTAGTAACTGAAATAAAATCAGGAAGTAGATGGCTACACCATGAATGGGAGACCCTCAAGCAGAGCCTCCAGTCAGATCTCCTCACTGAGGGCTCAGGATTCCTGCCTGAGCACTGTGTTTTGTAAGCACAGCACAGTACCTCAGCTGCCTGGCATGTCTTGCAGAGGAATCCTGTGAGAGAGCAGTGTTTTCCTTCAGCATTCAGGAATCCCTAAAGCATACAACTACAAAATTAAAATCAAGGCAAAATATTTAAAGGGAAGAAGGCACACTTACTTTTCATGTTTCTGTGTGCCTATCCCCTTCTGCAGGTTTTCCTTGTAGAAACGCATGGAGGAGACAATGCAGCCTGACACCCAGTAGATCATGATATTGGTGAGCAGGTCATCCAGGCTGAACTTCCTGAAAAGGCAAGCCCAAGAGATTGCTTAATTACTAATTACACTACAATACTTAATTTACAACTGAAAACTAATTTGCAGGGACTTGACTTTGGTTTGGTTGTAAGGGGAAAAAAATACAGGAAATAAATAGTGGTTAAGAGTGGAGAGGTGAAGTTATTACTCCCCCTCTGTCTGCCAGTGACCAATTAAGGATGCTAAAGGCTGTCAGACACAAAACTGGGAAGTCACATTTTAACTCCTGCATGGAAAGCAGATTCTGTGGCAGTCATATTTTCTGGGAAAGTCCTTTTGCCCAGGATTCTTCTCCTGGGAAACAGGAGAAGCCTCGGAGAAAAAGGAAAACAATATTACCTCATTTGCTTCTCCTGTGTTTTGCTGCTTTGGAATGTGTTTGGAGATTGTTTATCCAACAGGGGATTGTTTCATTGGTTTCAGGTGAAATGTTTTGACTTAATGACCAATCAGGGTCAAACTGTGTAGAGGCTCTGGAAAGAACCACGAGTTTTTCTTTAGTATCTTTCTAGCCTTCTGTCTGTGTCCTTTTAGTATTCTTTAGTACAGTTTAGTTTAGTATTCTTTAATATATTCTAGCATCATAAAATAATAAATTAGCCTTCTAAGAACATTGAGTCAGATACATAATTTCCTCCCTTTGTCTGGGAACCCCAGATACAAGAGATATAAAGCAAATACAAGATATAAAGCAAATACAAGAGGTTCCAACAAGCACCTTATGCTCCAGCATGGCTGTCTCTCCTGTCCACAGACTGGGAGGGGGGGAGCAGAACAGCACATGCAGCAGCTTGTGCCATTTATTAATGATAATCTGAAATGCTACTGTGAGCACTCAACAGAGCCCTGACACACCAACATGTGCTGTAAACAGTGCATGTTTCATATAAAATTATTAGCTGTATGCAGGGAAAACATTCCATGCAAATCTGCTTCCCATAGCATGCCCCCTCTTCTCCATTCCTGCCAGGTAGTTCTCAAAGGGGATTTCAGCTCTGGTTTCTGCTGCCCACTAAGCATAATCCTTTATTAGCAAATGGTAGGTAGATGAAGCTGTAACAATCAATCCAAAGCCAATCCACAGGGAGTTAATTGTCATAACAATGAATCATGAGCTGCCAGCATCTTAATGTGGGTTAAACTTTTGGATTTTGTGTCCTAATGAGATTCATCCCCATAAATCAGTTTTTAGTATCCAGGAGTGGCAGGGTGTATTTCTTTCCTAGGAGATGGAAGTGGGAAGGGAATCCATCAGCCTCCCCTGTTTGCCTCTCTGTGTGCTGGAGTGCAGCACCAGCTGTGGTCACCCCAGGCTCCCTGAGGTGTGAGGTGACCACTTCAGACAAACCTCTCCAGCTGTGACTCTGGGCTTAGTCACCTCATGCAAAATGGCAGGGGAGAATGGGCTCACCTCTCTAGTCCTCCATCCTCTAGATTCTGGAATTCCATATCAGTCCACGAAGAAAACTTCTCCAAGATGTATGCAGCCAGTCCCACAGGAGAGTCATTCAAACCACAGCCTGTAAAGGAGGAGGGAAATTTACCTATAACTGATATCCAGCTACAGAACTCAGAGTGTTAGAGAAGCTGCCTGTTATAATACAGGGGATGTAACTTTACAAAGCTGTTCCATCAGCTGCTTTCTTGAATAAATAAGATAGTGCAATGAGCTGGAGCCATTTAATGCCAAATCATAAACTGGAAGTGTCTGCAAATGAGCAGGCTCCACATTAGCTCACAGTGAACATTTTTTGAACTGATGTAACAGTATTGGATTTCTGCTGGCTTTTCTTTTTTTCTGGTAAGCTAATAAGATTAAGCTCTATGTGCCAAGGAGGGTTTGCTTCCATTAATCTGGAAGTTGTCATGTATTAAACAGCATTACAGAGCCAAACCCCACATGCCTACACATGACCAGGAGGATTTGCAGCATTATCTAACAGCAAAAACATTTTAAGGATTATTAGAAAGTCATTAAGAAACAGCAAGGCTCTGCTAAATGGTCCATCTTCTGAATTAGCAACAGCAAAGTGCCTTCATGTAGAACAAGCCTTCATACAGATTTTATAGTTTGCTTTTCTTGGACAGAAAGAAACACACCTGCACTTGGAACTTTGATCATACATCCTAGTGCTGTGAAATTCAGGGACTGTAAACTGTCCCAGCTTCTCAGTAAAACATGAGAAAAAGCTGTTCCTAAGAACCAGCAAGTTCCTTGGGAACAGCTTTGAGGTTGAATTCGGGAATTTGGTGGAATTTGAAGTTCCACCCTTGCAACCCAGCCTTCCAGGAAGGTGCCTAACACTGCAGCTGGCACAATTTCACCAGTAATTGCTATTTAAACATGACAGTGGGATTTCAATTATTAAGCAACTACTATTGATAAGTGAAATAGCAAGTGTTTGAAAAAGTTCTGTTGAGCACTTTCCAGATGTGCTGGACATGACAAGCCTGTTCTCAGCTCCTCACTGTGAGTAGAGTGCATCTGTTTAAATAGAGAAAAACTGACATTGATCCTCAGAGCACTTGGAATGTAGGCATTTCTGCCAGAAATTTATTCAGAGTGTTTTTCCCCTTTTAGGAACCTGCCACTGCCCCGATCCTCTCTTCTTTGTCCTTAGGAGAACTGCAGAAATGCTCCAGCTCCCAAAGCATGAACTGGCTGCTGGTTCCCAGTCTGCTCTGACAGACCACACATGACTGGTAAGGACAGGAATCAGCCAAAATTCTGAATGAGAAGGAGCATGGCTTAAGCATCTTTCAGATATCAGCTTCCCTCTCTTTCCTAAAGCACAAAAGACTGTCAATTTTTAGGAACCAAAACTCAACAGAAGCAAAATTTTTTTTAATCCATACAATTATCCTTTTGCCTACACATTTTAAGAACATACCTGCCTCTGTAGGTAAGTCTTAGGAAAACCATTAAGAAGTATTTCCCTTAACTAGATTTTAAATAAAATCCATCAGTGAATTGCTGCTGCACCAAACTAAAAGGTAGTCAGTACTTTTGACTCAGTTGTCCAATTCAGTCACAAAAGATGTTTTTAAAATAGAAACACTTAATACTCAGATACTTAAAGCAGTTAAACCATCTGAGTGACTAGCTCATGTAGAAAGAACATTCACAGATACATTTTTTTTTCCTTTAAAGTCTGCAGGTAATTCAGAACAATAAGTGAAAGTGAAATTTGATTTTACTTCTCAGGTATTACTTATCACTATAATAAATAAGCTACATTGTGTGCTGAGACAGCTAAAAGCTTCTTGTAGTTTACATTACTTGAATGTGATCCATTCTCTGAGAAGAAATTATCTTTTGCTCTCAGCAGAGCTGCATTCGAAATGGAATTACAGTCCCCAGTGATAGCAGAAGTGGAAAAATATGAAACAATCTATTTTATTTATGAAAACTGGAAAATGAGGTCAGTGGCACTTGGAGCATGCTCAGTTTGGATGTGCAGATACACTGCAAACCCCCCTATTTTCTGCATATTTTAAGTAGTACATTTTGTTTCTATGAAAGTACAACTAAAGTGAAGAGATTTAGGTATCCCGAGCTCAAAAAAGGTTATGGGGTTATTTTTGTTTGTTTTACCAACAGTATCTGGTTTTGTAGCCTGTATGTGAGCATAGCCAAACTCAGGCAAGATCTTGTAGAGCCATTTCTTCAAGAAGGGGAACATCCTCCTGACATCTTCATCCTGGAATCCAAAGAGCCCTGGGAAGTACCGGCCCAGCAGGACAGAGAGCAGGTGAGAGAGCCCCAGCTTCGAAACCAAGACCATGTTTAAATGGAGACCTTTCACATGGCTAAAGATAAAAATACAAACACCCCACAAGTTAACAAAAAGTTAACAAAAGTTCAAAGTTGTTGTATTTAGAATCATAGAATATCCTGAGTTGGAAAGGACCCACAAGGATCATCCAAGTCCAGCTCCTGGCCCATCACAGGGCAGCCCCAAAAATCACACCATGTGCCTAAGATTGTTGCCCAAACACTTGAACTCTGCCAGCCTTGGTGCTGTGACCTGTAACATTTCAAATGTTACTAACAGGAATGGACATACTTGAATTCCAGCCTGTTAATTACATCATGACCTCAGCTGCCCTTTGTAGTGTGGCTTTTCACACAAAAATGACAAGTCAAAGGGACAACTGTCAGTAATCAGCACACACTCCAGGGCACTAAGCCACAAATCCTCCTTTTTTTTTCTTTACAAGTACTTGTCCCACTCCAGACCTCAGTGAGGCCACTACCAAACTGCTGCACAACTGTTTGAAAGAAAAAACATTGAATATAAACTAAAGTTATGTAACTTTGGATCTTTGCTTAACACTGAGCACTAAAGGAAGAAACTACATATTGTATTTGCTGGGTGCCCTAATGAAGGCAGGAATGATGAATCTGACTCCATGTTCTCAGAAGGCTAATTTACTATTTTATGGTACCATATTATATTAAAGAATACTGTTTTAAACTATACTATAGGATAGAGAAAGGATACTTACAGAAGGCTAAAGAGATAATAATGAAAACTTGTGACTCTCTCCAGAGCCCCAGCACAGCTTGGCATTAATTGGCCAATGAGTGAAACCAACCCACAGCAGAAATTAATGAAACAATCACCTGTGGGTAAACAATCTCCAAACACATTCCACATGAGCACAACACAGGAGAAGCAAATGAGATAAGAATTGTTTTCCTTTTCTCCGAGGCTTCTCAGCTTTCCAGGAGAAAAATCCTGAGAGAAGGGATTTTTCAGAGAATGTGAATGCCACACCTACACAGCAAGGACTTGGGCAGGAACTCCCAAGTGCACAGGAAATAACTATTCACAGAGTAAAAGAGCTGCATCAAGGGGGTACTCACCTGGGAGCTATCTGGGCCAGGTTGGTGCAGATGAGACAGCCAGCATCACCACCCTGAGTGTAGAACTCATTGAATCCCAGTTTGAGCATCAATTCATAAAAAACAGAAGCAGCACTCACGGAATTGAAGTCTGCATTTAAAGAAAAGAACACTTTTGTTGCATTAATTCCAGCCACACTTCTGACCCTGCAGCACTGGTTCTCATCAAGGCAATGTTCCAGCTCCTCAAAAGCTACAAGTCCCTTTTCTCCTTGTCTGACTGTCTGCAAGCCCTTGCTCAGCATCCAAGCACAGAGAGCAAGCAGAAACCATGAGGAGAACTAACTCCAGCCTTTGTTGCAGACCTGCTCTGTATGCTGACCACGAAAATTGTGGGTTTTTTTAATAAAATCCATCAGTGAATTGCTGCTGCACCAAACTAAAAAGCAGTTCATACTCTTGACTCAGTTATCCAATTCAGTCATAAAAGATGTTTTTAAAATAGAAACAATATTCAGATACTTAAAGCAGTTAAAAGATACTCAGATACTTAAAACCAGGGAAGCAGAGAAAAGCAAACCCAACTGTCACTATCACATTTTCTGAAAAATCCCTTTGCCAGGATTTCTTCTCCTGGGAAGCTGAGAAGCCTCAGAGAAGAATGAAACCAATAATTATCTGATTGCTTCTCCTGTGTTTTGCTGCTTTGGAATGTGGTAGGAGATTGTTTATCCAACTTGTGAATTGTTTTTACTTAATGACCAATCATGGTCCAAGCAGTGTCAGGACTCTGGAAGCAGTCACAAGTTTTAATTAGTATCTTGTTAAGCTTTCTATCTGTATTCTTTCTCTATTCTTTAGTATAATATAATATAATATAATATAATATCACAAAATAATAAATTAGCCTTCTAAGAACATGGAGTCAGATTCTCAATTCCTCCTTCATCCTGGGGACCCCGAAAATACCACACCCAACCTTCTCCACATCTGCACATGCAATTAAATACTAAACTCAGTGTCACTTTAAACACTACCTCCTCAATTTGCTGCAGTTTGTGTTTGTATAACTCAGAGCACAAGCTGAACAAGCATTTGGCTACAATCTGCCATGTGGACACATGAACTGCTTTGTTTCAACTCTTCCTTCTCACCTACCTGTACAATGCTGTCCAATATGGATGCAAAACACCAAAAAGGAGCAGTAATAAATTAAATTTACCCTGCCTGCTCACTCACAGACAATTCATGGCTGCAGTTACAGCTCTTGAGTTGTAACTTCATTGCTCCAGGAACTAGCCAGTGATGTCTCCTGAAGTCACCCCCTTATGTCCCTCATCCCACATGACACACAGGATCTCTGTTTCCTCACTGGGAAAACAAGTGTGGAACGGGAGCTGCTGTTCTGCTAACAGAAGTGTTACAGTCTCACTGTGAGGCTGGGCTTGTGGGGGTTCAGTTTCTTCTCCTGTGTCATACCTTGCTTGTGGGGTGCTTCTGAGAAACCATAACCAGGGATAGATGGGCAAATGACTTCAAAGATGTGCTCATCCCCGAGGCCGTGGCTTGCAGGATCCGTCAGCAGAGGGATGATTTTGTAGAACTCATAGAATGAGCCAGGCCAACCATGAACCATTAACAGTGGCTTTGCAGCCTGGCCTTCAGGCAAACGAGGAGGCTTTACATGAACAAAGTGGATATCAATGCCTGTAAAAATAAAATCATTAATTAGCAGGCCCAAATTTACCGTGACACTGAAACTAATCACAGAACAGATTAGGAATAAAGCCTTTGTCTTGTCCTTTTTTTTTTTGTGAGCATGCAAACACACTGCACCTCTCTGGATACATTTATCCAAGGACCTTAAAGTAGTTCATAATGGGCAATTAAGCATCACAGCAGCCAAATGGGGTTGGCTATTTCTGTTTTAAAATAAATTGGCAAATTAAGACATAGAAGCGAAGCAATCTACCAACGGTTACACAGTGACTCACACAGTTTACAGGCAGAGGAGACAATTACATCATTTAGTCCAAGTGCCCTTAAATTTTACCCAAATGTCCCTACATGGCACAGGATAGGCTTCAGTCAGCCAGAGATTTTTCTTCCTGAAAGGCCTGCAATTGCAGCTTGAAGGCACCAAGAGATAGGGAATCCATCACAAGGGGCAGCTGTTTGTCTGGGGGTATGAATCACTTTCCTCATTTTGTGCATGCCTTACTTTCCATTTGAATATGTCTGGCTTCTGTCCCCAGCCACTGACTCTAAATGCTGCACAAAAGGAATTTTAAAAGCCTTCACTAAATATTCTCTGTCTGTGGAAGCCTCCTGTAATCAGGTCACACATCTTAACTGCTGATAAACCAATCATGCCAAATTGAGGATTTTATGCCTTGCTAAAAGAGAGTTAAAGTGTTCATTTTTGTAGTTCTTTCCTACCCTTTGTCCAAAGCTTTCTCTTTGAGTGAATAAACCAAACCAGGAACCTCTGTTCTAGTACCAGTCTCCATTTTGACCAGTAAAAGGTAAAATCAGCAATGTAATTTCCATTTTGACTCTTTCCAGCAGGAAAGCTTCACACAGCATTGCACTACCTGCTTCAGGTGAGCTGCTCTTCCTCAAACTAACTCAGGGCTTTGTTTTCCAGGAAGCAGGAATTTGTTCCCTGAATTCCTCATTTCTTGGTGTATTTAAGCATGTTTTACTCACATCAACTCCAGTTCACCAGCAATCCCACCGTCTTTCACTGACTTGAGATTTCCCCATCCTTGACACTTCTGTGAATCTCTGCACTCTCTGAAAAGCTTTCAAGTGATGACAGAAGGTAGGAATCTGATACACAGCATGTTTGACCTTGTCTTTTCATATCTGCTCTCTGTAATCTTTCCTAGCCCTGAGATTTCCCTTCCCATTGCTATACATAGTGCATTGTCCTTAGCTGCTTCTCCCTTTCTTGTCTCAGATGGGGCTTTTTTCTTCTTTTTCAAGGGAAGACTTTCTGGTTTTATCTTTTGCAGCACTAACCATCATTTAAATAAGTTCTTTAAGCTCTAACCACTATGCAGCACCATTTATTTTCCCAAATCCATTTAAAATACCATGGCAAACTGCACCTTTTGAAATAATACACAATTATGGGGGCAAGTAGAAACAGAACAAAATACCCTGTTAAAGTTAAATTTTGCCATCATGGGAGACAATTGCCTGCTGAGCTCTAGAACTAGAACTGGACCCAAGCACCACCCCAAATCAGGCATTTTAAAAAGCCCAGCCTGACCAAGTTCCAGCACCAGCAGACCTTGGCTGAATGAACTCTTTGGAAAGAATGAATGAAGAGAAACCATTCCCTCACAGCTGGCAGCACATCAACCCCAGGAGAGAGGCATTGTGCTCTCCTGGGCCTGGGAATGCTTGAAGAGGTGCAGCAGAGCACATCTGCCCTGCCAGGCTGAGGAGGGCTGCCAGGCTGATGGCTTCACTGTGACAGCAGCAGCTGGGCAGCTCCATGGAGCATGAGGAGACATCTGTGGCAGTTTTTGCATGGCTGCATGCAAGGCAGGGAACATGTGTACAGCTTAAGATCCTCTTCTGCTTCCAAACACTCGTGCTTGGCTCCTGCTAACACCAGCTGACAGGCTGCTCATGCACAGGGAATTCCATTTGTCATTCCTTGTCCTGAAGGCTTCAGTTACAGCCAAGGAGTTCCCTGCTCCTTCAGCAGTGATGCCAAGGATCCAGACTATGGCAGCCAGGGAGGGAAGGCACTGTGACACAACCAGAGCCTTCTTCCCACCCTTGCAGACAAATTTATCTGTTGCAGACAATTATCTATTTGTCTATTGCAAATTTCCCTTGTAGACAAATTTATCTATTGCTGGTTATATTTTAAGGGGGAAAGCAGCACACCTTGAATCTTTGTTTTGAATTGTGGGTACTTGTTGAGGACTTCAACTTGTTTCTTCCAATTGAACTGGTTTTTCCAGTAGGACACCACCTTCCTGAGGTGCACTGAGTTAGTTCCATAATGGAAGCAGCTGTTCTCCAGTGGCTCAGTGAATCGAGCCTGGTCCAGTCTCCTAAATAAATCCTACAGGGAAAGAGAGAGAAGAGACATTAAAAGCCCTTGTGTCTGCTGTCTTGGGCTGTGTGTGTTTCTAGTTATCCCCACGTGAAACGAGAACAATGGAAATAACATCTCTAATTAGACACCTGTGCCTTTTGCTGATGCTCCATCAGCTGTCCCAGTATTTTTCCTCCTGCAGGTGGCCTCCTTCCCCTTCCATTCCCAGCTGTTCTCAGCCTTTGTTCTGCAGGGCTGCCTGACCTGAGAACCACAGAGTCTGCCAGGCTGAGAACCACAGAGTTGGGCAAGCTGCTCTGCTGGCACTGCTGTGGCTGCAAGGGGCAACTCTTGCTGCCTTTCCTGGGTGCTTTCCTCACAGTCAATGCATGGATCTGGCCCAAACCTTTTGCTTTCCTTCCAAAACCTTTTGCTTTCCTTCCCAAACCCAGGGGTGGGAAGTCTTTCACCAGGAAACACTCAGAAGGATTTTGCATAAACAGAAAGTTGGTGAGACCAGACAGAAACTGAAGTTTGCCAATCAGTCACCTTCCCACTGCACTACAGGAGATGTTGGTGACTCTGCAAGATCACTCCAAAAGCACCCAGCAGGGACAGCCAAGAGTCCCTCCCTACTGCAAACAGAACCACAGAATAGCTGAAAGGCAGGTCTGGAAATCTAATCCTGCTCAATCATTTTAAAGTTAGAAATGATCCATCTTAGTGTCTGCAGTGTAAGGGGAAAGCAGAATGGAGAGCAATGTCTATTGACATTACTAAGAGGGGTAAGCAAAGTGTTAAAAAACCCAGGCCTTGCTGAGAAATTAGGAATCTATTATAAATTAATAATGTGAGCAATCCCAGGAGTATTGTTTGAACCATGACTCCACAAAGATCTGTGAAATTGTTCAATCCCTGCCTTAAACACACACAATCAAAATCTTTCTATGCAACAAATTCTGCAACGTATGTGTTTACTGTAATTACCACAGTAATTTAGTGTTGACCAAAGTAGACTATTAATTACAGAAGAATCAGCATCCAACACAGCTGCAAACATAAAGCAGTCAAGAAAATGAGGTATTTATAATTGCTTTGGAAAGAAAGGGAAAAAAACCAAGACATTGTTCTTATTCTGGTCTACACAAACTGAGTGAAATGCACAAACAGAAAAACAGAGTTGAGTAATCTGTAATATGATTTTTATGTTTATTAGGCTTTGCAGAGTAGGTTTATTTACCAGCAATCATGCAAGAGCCAGCTGAGAACAAAATTATACAATGAGATCTGCCTATTCATACCTATCTTCTGAAGTACTGAAAAATCCCTTCCCCCAAGACCTGATCATCACCAACCCTGTTGGTTCAATTTAAAAATTACTTCCAAACACGTCCTATGTGATTTGGCCATTTCTTCCTTCCCTTCCCTTCCCTCAGCACAGAGATTTGCTTACACTCAGCTCTTCCTCTGCAGTCTCCACCTTGAATGGTCTAATACTGGAGTCTTCTTTGGTCACAGGCTTTTGTCCCCTGCCCCACCACCCATCTTTGAAGGGCAGTGTCTCTTCATTCTTCTTGGAAAAGAAGAAGTAAATGAGGAGTGTCCCCAGGACCAGGAACACCTCAAGCAGCATAATGCCTGCAAGAGAAGAGCAGAACTCTGGTGAGCCCAGTCAGCTCAGAGAGACACACACATTTTTTGAGGAGACTTTTCCCTTTTCAGACAGGATCCCAGCTGCAGGATGTTCTGGCACTCACAGGATATCAATACTTCTGTGAAATTTCTCAAATAGAATGTTTCAACCTACCCAAACGAGGAAGAATTGTTTTAAATAAAGGACACATATTAAAAACAGAGCTCAAAGTCAGATAAAGAGATAATGTGGCAATTAAATAGTCATTATAATGTAAATATGACATAAATATAACATAACTTAATAATTACAGTTATACAATTGACATTTAATGCCTTCTCTTCCTCTGAAGTTCTAGATTCCCCACAAATCCCAGGGCAGAGCATCTCCTCAGCAATGCTTACATGTCCACTGCTGCAGATTCAGAGGGAAAGAAAAGCAAGGCAGAATATAGATCCAGAATAAAAAGCCAACAGTGTGAGGGCAGCCACCTTGTACCTCTCAGTCAGCCACGAAGTGGAGCAGGGATATATTTGCACAACCCTTGAACAGGTGAGTAAAGGGCAGTCAGACCTTCCCTTTCCTTCTCCCTGTGAACTGTTTTAAAGAGGAAACAAAAGCCCATGCTCTAAAATGTGATCACATTGCCAAAAAAAGTGACAAAATTCTGTCAAGGTGAAGAGCAACCTGATTTCACAGCACATCTGCATAACCCAGCTGCAGGGCTGCTGTGCTTCAGTCAAAGAGAACACCCCAACAAAAAAAGAAAAAAAGAAAATAATCTTGAATATATTTGGACTGTTTCATGCTGCAAATAGAAAAAACACTTAGACTTGTCTTTAATAATTAATGTTTTCAAGCATGCCTTTAAGTGTAAGAAACCTTAGTAAGGTGGTTTGGGGAACAGTGCTGTCATCATTTTAATGCATAATTTTAAAGAATGTCATGCTTCAAGCACTCATTTGCTGGGGAATTACTAAGACATCAAGTATTTCAAAACTTCTGTAGGGCAAGGATTGTTTATGACCCAGAACATCTTCATTCTCTCTAGAGCCAGAAGGTTTTGTTGGTTTTGCTGCTACAGAGTAATTTGATGCTCTGGAATGGCTCAAAGAGTCCTCAGAATGCACCAAATTTACTCCTGGATCAAAACAGGAATTTTAGCACAAGTTAATAGGAATTCACAGGATTAGAGCAGGAATGAAACTGAATGGAATAGTTTAAGTGCCTTTATGTGACAGGACATGTTTTACTCAACTTCTTGAGTTTAATTTTCTAATGGCTGACAATAAATAAATAAATAATTACACAAGTCAAGATAAGCACCCATAAAACATCTGTGCAGATTGAACATTTGTCCAGGCACTGTGCAGATTGAACAAGCTAAAAAAAAAAAGAAGAAAAAAAAGAAAAATATTCTATTTTTTACACATGCAAGTGCTACAGCCTTGAAAGTGCCTGAATCCTCAGAGGATGGAGCTATTGGATGATAGGCACTGAAAAAACTTGATTTGTTTGTTTCACTGGTGCTTCCATAACTTCTGCCACTTGTTTTTCTTCACAATGTTATCTGGAGCACAAGACAACACTCCTTTCCCACCTTTACAATACCCAGGCCATAACTCTACCCAGAATGAAAAAGTTTATCCAATTTCAGCTTGCCTCAGCACACAAACCAATGCAGTTTAGGAGCATCCTGAGCACAATTAAATTTTATTGCAAAGCACAACTGGAGGGGCTTCTAGAAACCTCAGAGCACTTTACATAGAAATGATATCTACCACAGCGTTTTACAACATTTCTATTCCTAAGCCTTTGTGAAGAAAAACAGCAGCTTCCTCAAAATCACAACACAGCTGGGGCCAGGTTTGGGCTAGAAGGTTCACCACCATAACTGTGAACACCACAAAGAAAATCCCAACTCTTGGCCAGTCTGATCTGTTTACAGAGCCCCCCAGCAAACAGAGGAGCTGCTGTCAGTGCCAGCTCTGTTGTTCAGGCTGGGCTACCTCCAAAACCAGAGCTCTCTTTGCCCCCTGGTTCCTGCTGCATCAGCACCACGGCCCTGCCTGTGGCATTCACATTCTCTGAAAAATCCCTTCACCCAGGATTTTCCTCCTGGGAAGCTGAGAAACTTCAGGGAAAAAAGGAAAACAAGTTCTTATCTCATTTGCTTCTCCTGTGTTTTGCTCACATGTGGAATGTGTTTGGAGATTGTTTACCCACAGGTGATTGTTTCATTAATTTCTGCTGTGAGTTGTTTTGACTTTTTGGCCAATTGGGGCCAAGCTGTGTCAAGACTCTGGAAAGAGTCATGAGTTTTCATTGTTATCTTTTTAACCTTCTGCAAGTATCCTTTCTGTATTCTTTAGTATAGTTTAGTTTAGTATTCTTTAATATAATACAGTATCATAAAATAACCAATTAACCTTCTGAGAACATGGAGTCAGATGCATCATTCCTCCCTGCCACAGGGATCCCTACAAATACAATACCTGCCAGCACAGAGACAGAGCTGCTCTGCCCAGGAACTGAACCTCCATGAGCCAGAAACCCTCATGTCCACACCCAGAGCTACAGAACCATTTCTGCTCCCTCCCATCTCCTCTCAAAGACACTTAAGAAGCAGGATTTTTGCAGCAGAAGACCTGCAGCAGAAGATTGTGTGCAAATGTGTGTGCTCTGCATTCACCCTGGACCACAGGTGGAAAGAACTGGCTGTGTGAGCAGACACCCATTTTTTGCAGTGAATTCAGACTGGAGGATGAGCTTGTTTACCATCCAGTAGTAAGTTCCAAAACCAGCTTCAAGTCTCACAAGAATCTTGACTTCCACTGGAGATAGCTGGGGCTGGTGACAAATGGATTTGCATCCTGATGTCATCCTGACTTGGAAGAAGCCACCTCTGATATTGGTTGGGTTATTTTTTGCTAACAGAGAGACTCTCTGTATTCAATCTCTCCCAGTTGCCTTGAAAGTGCCTGTAAAATTCCTGATGATAATGAACACGGGCCCCAGAGCTCCAAGAGTGTCACATTTTTCTGTGAGTGCCTGGGAAGGGAAGGACCAAGTGCGTCAGCAGCATTTGAACTTCACCAGCTCACCCAAGGGGATTGTTTTGGGAGGGATGAGCATGGGGTGCAGCATGTTCCTGCCAGCAGCTCCAGCCTGGGCCCAGAGGAGGCCACTCAGAGCAGTGATTTCCCAAGTTCACTATTCCAGCTGCTTCTCTGGAGTTCTCGTGTGTTGTTTGAGCAGCACAAAGCAGCCTCAGTTGTGACAAACCTGCTCCAGAATTTCCTCCACTAATCACTGCTGGGATCTGTGGTGAAGTTATCAGCTCCTTAACACTTGTTCCACGATATAGCAATACAGCACCATGAATGTGGAAGGACAAACAGGTACAATAACCCTTTTCTACCCTCATTTTTCAGAGATGTCAACAACAAAGTGCTGGTGGTTTTATTGTCTGAAGTCTCTTGATGCAACCACACTGGCACAATGCCTTTGTAAACGAGTGCTTCAAAGGGAGTTCATGTTTTGGTTTGGCTTTTTCCTCTTTTTATGTGACCAAAGGCAAGACCTTAGAAGGAAATATATCCATTTATTCTACTGTCCTTAGGCTCTGAGACTTTGCTGTACGCCAGGGTGGATATTGTTTGCAGACAACACTTAAATACCTTAGACAGTACTTTTATCCTAAAGAGTTCAAGGAGGAATGCTTTTGGTTTGCTGCTTTAAAAACATGTTTTCAAAGAAAAATGTTGAAATGCAATGGGCCCAGTAAATAGCCCTGAACCAAGCTCCTCTTGAAGAAGACCAAGCACATCTTGTGAAATACTTCTGCAAGAAAACCCCAGAATTTCCTTACAGTATCTTACACCTCCCTATTGGAAACACTCCTGGTTTTCAGCACCTTTCTGCATTTTGATTTGTCCCCTATCTGTGCATTAACATCAGAGCTAAGGGGCCCACAGGAACAGAGCAATTATTATTTACATCAGAGCTGTGTCCTGTCTCTTGCTTTGTCTTCATCAATACACAGAAGAGATGCCTCAGAGAACAGAGCTCTTCATTTTCACAGAGGTCATCTATGAAACAGCTCAATGGTAAAACCCCCCTCTCCTTCTACAAGTAACCATCCATCTCAGCCTTGCAGCATTAGAATCCATCTGAAACATGTTTTTGGAGAAATAAGCAACTGTGCAGACCTTCAGATAAATGCAGGAAATGCCCAAATACCACCCAGCTGCAACAAATGATGCACAACACCCACAGCTTTGGGGGTGCTACCAAACCCTGCCAGGGCAAAACTGCTGCTGCATGGCTGAGGCAGGAGTTGTGAGACTGTGCTGCTTTCAGGGCTAATCATGCTTTAGGGTTAATAACATTTTCTCTCCAGGACTGGTTTACCAACACACTGCAAGGCAGCTCAGAGCACTTGGCACACTCTGAGAGACACAAGGTTTATTGATTAATAATTACCCTGCAGGAGAAATAACAGCTCCATTTGGAAGTGGTTTTTCTGTGTATTTTTGTTCCCTTACATAAAATACCACATCAGGCTTTACCAAAAAGGCGCCTCTCTGCTGCAGCACCTTTGTTTACACCCTGCTTTGCCCAAAGAGCAACAATTGCAGCTTACTCTTCCCAAGAGACCTGAAGGAAAAACAACCCCACTGAAGGACTTCAAAAACTCATGGCACCTGGAACAGAGTCCCTGAGCACTGCCACAGCCTAAAAGGAACTAAGACACAGCACAGTCCCCACAGCTTCACCCTCAATCTGTCCCCTACCCTCTCAAGGCATCACATTTTTGCCATCATGTTGCACCACAAACAGACAGAAAACCACCAAGTCACTCATAGAAGAAAATATTCCTATTTCTGTACTTTATGGAGCATCACGACAAGCTTGAAAATAGCTTAGCAAGGCAGAAATTGCTTTGCCTACAAGTGATAACATCTCCCAGGTGAGCATGGAATGCTGCATTAACATTG